GAAGTTGGAATATTTAGATTTATTGTGGGTTTAATTTTTTAATAAAAAAACTATACTCAAAAAATCTTGTCCCCAGTTTTCATGTCACTACCGAAACACAAGGGGTTTTAATCCAATGGCTGAGCCTGGTTTTTAGCAACACCCCTGCATTTTTGACTAGGCAGTGACACTGCATCCCTGTCCTTCATGGCTGAATGGCAAATAGCTATATCCCATACTTTTTATATACATATGTTCCAAAATCTGAAAATGGGCGTGTAACCTTAAAGGTAGGGTAGGTAAGAATGGAGAAACCAGCTCGAGTGCGCTAGAATTTGAAAGTACTAGTAGTACAAATCTGCCTCTTCCTTCAGACTTCCTTACAGAGCCCCTCCTCCAACACACACAAATGTGCACATGACCAATGAGGGCACAAGATAAGTTTGTGCACAAGATGGAAAGCTGACAGGCAGGTAGGCCATCCAGTTATTTTAGCCGGTTTAATTTAATGTATGTTCAATTTCAACAAACATCAACTCTGGAATCAATATGATCAGTATTATGCATTTTACAAAACAAGATTGCATTATGATTTTTATGAATTGAATAAATTGAACTTTGAAATTTGATTACAAATGTAATGTTATTGATTTAATTGTGAAAACCCTCAAGAAATATTTGTTAAAATACTATTTACAGAAGGGAAGGTAAAACAATCTTAACAGGTTAATATAATACTTTTTTACTACAGTGTATTTACTATGTTTCGGTAGTGACAATCTTTGGTAGAGGAAGAACATTCCAATACAGTCTGAAAATACGATATACAAATGTACAGTTCTTTTACTAGATATGTGTAATTTAGATATGGTACAAAATATATATATAATATATAATGTAATAGTTGTAGAGAGAGTAAGAGAAGACCATTTTTCTTTCCACAAACAGCCTTCTTTGGACAAAAATAATTATCTTCTCTGGAAACTGATTTTTTATTGTGTTTATTCTTTCATTGTCACTGTTATGGCTCTCCATGTTTCAGTAATCATCTCACTTCAAAAAGTTTTTGGAAATCTTAGCCCACTTGATTAATTGTTGAAGCCCATTTGGCTGAAGTGGTAATGATTTATTATTTTTTGCCTTTGAGGGGAAGAGAAGAAACACAAAGAGACAGATTGAGGGGAGGACAGGAAACTGCAATAAACAAGCAGCGTTTTAGGCAAAATCCTAGTTGGTAACAGACAGTGTATTATCATGTCGATTACAGAGAAGGGCTGGTGAGTGTCCAGATATTCACAGTATAATGACTTTAATTGATCAAAAGACATTTATTTTCAGGACGAATCTACGTTTGGGGCAACGCCAGTGTTAAGTGCATTTTTGAAAGGCATCTCTCCTAGCTTCCATCCATCATAATAAACCATGTGTCACACGAGTACACAATAGAGGCTTCTCAATACTCAAATTTCCCCTCCTCGACTCCTCGGTCCTCGGTCCTCCGGTAGTGACCCGGAAATTAATTTCAGCGCGCCATTTTGAAGGACGTCTCATTTCTCTAAATGCACACCGAGGACCGAGGATCGAGCGTCGAGGAGGCTCTCTGGAGGAGCTCTAACCGAGGATACACTGATGGTTCCTCCACGGCTCCTCCACGGATGCATTTCCGGGAACGGTGGAGGCGTGACGCACGGCCGGACTTATCTCAGCCAATGACAGCTATGCATGCATCCCCTGGATATTATTTTAGAAACTGCTCTCATCGCGTCGCGATGTTTCCAGTAGAGGCTTCTCAATACTCAAATTTCCCCTCCTCGACTCCTCGGTCCTCCGGTAGTGACCCGGAAATGAATTTCAGCGCGCCATTTTGAAGGACATGTAATTTCTCTAAATGCACACCGAGGACCGAGGATCGAGCGTCGAGGAGGCTCTCTGGAGGAGCTCTAACAGAGGATACACTGATGGTTCCTCCACGGCTCCTCCACGGATACATTTCCGGGAACGGTGGAGGCGTGACGCACGGCCGGACTTATCTCAGCCAATGACAGCTATGCATGCATCCCCTGGATATTATTTTAGAAACTGCTTTCATCGCGTCGCGATGAGAGAACAGCTGTAAGGTCCATGCAGAAAGCAGAGCAGTGTGTATAATATATCACTCAGTATAACAGGCCTACTCTCTTTATTTGCTTTAGTTTAGTAGATATCTACAAACAAAGAGTCGATATTTTTCTAAGACCATTGCTTCACATAATAAAATACACAACGGCTTATGCTTTAGGAGCTGTAGGTGTGTGTGGTACAGTGTGTAGGTGTGTGTTGTACAGTGCGTAAATGCGGCGGACAGACGGGTCTCAGTTGGTTTGGTGTCCTCTGCTTACTTTTAATAGGCCTACTTGTAAATACGACTTTTGGCCCGTAATTTCAATTCCCCATTTCAGCGACCAGAGAGAGGGGGGGATATAGCCTATCAGTCTCTGATTGTGTTACGTTATTATGAGAGTGCTCTCATACTTTAAATTGTATATATTTATATAAATATATTTGTGTGTGTGTGTCCGCATCTGTAGCCTGTTATTGTTTCATTATACTGCACTCTCAATGAATTCAAAGTAAATATGTGGGGGAACAATGTTCAGCTGATCTAACAGAGATACAGCGCTATGACAAAACACTCAACAGCTGATGCAGCTGTTGCCACGTAATAATGAACGGACGTCTCTTTAAAATGACCGCTCAGAGGAGAGGAGTTCTCATTTCTTTAAACGTCTGCTGCTTCCCCTCCTCTCTCCTCGGTTCCCCTCCTCGGTCCTCCGCTCGCATCTCCTGTGGGCGGGTCTAAGTCTCGAGGAGGGGAACCGAGGAGGGGAGTCGAGGAGGGGAAATTTGAGTATTGAGAAGCCTCTAATGTGACACATAGTATTAGGTACGCAATGTCAATATAAACTTTTTTCCTGATTTCACCAACATTTTCGCAATAAGAACCTTGTAGAATTTCCAGGGTGTGTGGGAGAAAAAATTCTCTCTGGAGGAAAACTTTGGGATTTTAGCCTTTCAGACCATCCACATGCACAAAAACCTTATATAACACACTACAGGAAAGGGAACAACCCCAACAACTGCATATTAGGTCCCTTTTAAGAAGGAAAACTTTACACGGAACACATTTAATGGGTTATTTGCTGCTTACATTTTAAAAATCCATTAAGATAGACTTTTACAAACACAGGTTGGATGTTTGTTATGTGTTTAACATCATAAAACAGGACTTATTAATCTTGAGTAATGCTCATCTTCAGCTTTTTTCTGCGTGCTGTTGTTGGCAATTATTTAAGTTTAAAGTCTTATTTACCACATTAGACACACTTCTAATTACACTGCTTTATCAAGGATGTGTAATGCACAGTAATGAGAAATGCAACAAATTAGTTTCCATATAGGCATGAATGCTTTGATCTCAATTATAAAGAAAAAAAACACTCCTATTGCACATTAGAAAGGCTCATGCTAATGTTTACAGCACTTGACTTCAATTCAGCTGCCACACAGTGCTCTCGACAATAATTAATTCTACTCTTAATCAACTAACTTTGAGAGCCAATTAAAGATGAAACAATCCCATAATACGGAATATGGTGCCATTATCACCCTTGAATGGGGGGGTTGTAACCCTTTTATTTACAGTAAATATGAGCAATAACAATTACTATAGTGCTGCTCCGAATGAAAATATTATTTGTGCTTTGTTAGGGCTCCATTGAATGGTTGAAGCTTCTTTCACTATGTTGACATTTGATTATATATGTGAACATTTCAATGCTTTGCTCTGTCTGTTTTTCATATTATTATTGTATTATTTGTAAAGTTAGAATCCGGTGGTGGCTGCTTGGGATTTTTTTCTTTTTTCCATGAGCACTGTAAAGTCTAAATGTCAGAAAGTATTGAAAAAAAGGAGATTTCCAAAATTCACAACACCTAACAAAAAAACTGTTTACTTCTCTATCCATATTTATTGGCGTTTAGCTTTTCAAAAACAACTTTTTCACCGCGGTCAAAAAGCTAGCAGCACTTTAGAAGCACCATTATTTATATTTATATAACAAGATGTTGTATTTTTGTAGATGACGCAGATGAGTTGTATTCATTAAAGGAAGTTTATCTTTAAAAAAAAGACTTTGACAGGATCTGCCGTTGGGTTTGCGGTATCAAATAACAACATGGTATATTTAAGAACCTTCACCTCTGTCAGAGGCAATTTGAAACATAACACTACTTTACAGACTATACAATTCAGGTGTGGCTGGCTTTTACCATAGTTTTTAAAAATCATGTAGGTAGCCAGAGTTTTGTTTGTCCGTTCTAGGCTACTGTAACATCACAGACACCGTGGAAGAGAACCATGTATACAAATAATTAAATATTTCCTAATGACCATTCTTGGTTTCAAGTGATTACACACCAATGAGAAGTTGGAAGATTTTGTTGGAGGATTTTTATGTTTTTTTAGGCCAATTTTATCACAAAATATGAATACAGGACACTTTTGAAAGTTCATTTGGAAAACCCCATAAAAAGCTTCAGAAGCAAGACATTTCACTCAATACGCTGATGATTTTTTCCGCAAGTAAGGCTTGTGACTTCAACAGAATCATGACAAGTGTGACAACACTGATAGGCTGTTGATAGTAGAAAATAGAGGTGAGTCAGGGTCATTCTTTTACCGCTCTTCCGGAATTGCACTCTGAGTGTTACAATGGTTCCTATTACATAAAGTTCCCCTAATAAAGCCTCTTCTTTTTGCTTTTTCCATCAATACAGAGTAGGTGGACTATACTTGGACTTGTTTTTTTATTTTCTAACAACTCACACATCCCCTTCAGTCAAAGCTGAGCTAAAATAAATGGCATTCATCCGGCTAGAACTCCTTGTTTGTTGCCACCTAAGCAAATGTCTCCCTGGTTTGGACTGCAGCTCATTGTGCTTTTAGTCATTGACAGTGATTACTATATTTGTTCTCCTGGCAGGCGTCTTCACTGCACCAGAAACTACATCCACATGCACCTGTTTGTTTCCTTCATGCTACGGGCAGTCAGCATCTTTGTGATGGACAAAGTGGTCTATCCCAGTACTGGACTGCAGGACTTTGATTCTGCCCTGTTGGACAACTTTAAGACAGTTAGCCTGCCTCCATTGGACACCTCTCAGTATGTGAGTACCAGTTCTACTTGTTTGATTGTTTTTGTTCTTACTGCCTGTTCCAACAACTATAAATTTGGCTGTTAGACCTGAAGTTGAAGTGCTTTGAGCACAGTCTAAAAATACGTTCTTTAGACTGATTGACTGTGGCCTTAAGCTGAATAGAGTGCTAGCTTTGATTTTGTATTTCACATGGTATGGCTTTTGCTTCGTTGTCCTCTCAAACTTTGATTGGATGCATGCAACAGAAAGCATGTCTCAGTGGTGCTCAAGTTATTTCTTACAGATGTTTCTCTTGCACATAAGGAACAAATTGTTGTGCACTATTGGGCAAGACCACTTTCAAAACTTACACTTCATCTACCACGGTCCTTCTCTAAAAAGCCTTATGGTTTACAGCCACTTCTTTCTTCAAATCTCCATTTGAGACATTTTACATTTTCCTATTCATCTTTTGGAATTTTTCCCATCAAGTCCATCAAGTGGTGTTGACTATAGGACAGGGCTGGCACAGCTATCATCACCAGACATTTATTTCCAGGGAATATCAATATTTGGGGCGACGCCCGTTTGGCCCATATCTTTTAAAAATGCATTTCCCCTTCTGTCCATCCATCAAAATGAACACTGTTTCAGCCCTTAATTTGTAGCGGATAATGACATGATAATCGTTTTTTTACTGTTTTGAATATCAACAAAAAGAAGTTGGCAGAATTTGATTTGGATACAAATTCAGTTAGGCAAGAACATCTAATCTCAGACAGGAGAAAACCAAAGGTTTTTAGAGCTGAAGGTTTCTATAGGAACACTTCAAATGGCGCGTTTCCACTGCAGCGGGTAGCTCGCTTTAAGCGTGCCGAGCCGTGCGGGGCCCGTTTTTGGTTGCGTTTCCACTTGGCCTAGTTTTGGCCCGGGGCTACTTTTTCACCTTTTTTCTGGCCCGACTAAATCGTGGTTCTAGGGCAGGGGTGCCTAACCAGTCGATCGCGATCAACCGGTCGATCGCAGGGAGATTCCCAGTCGATCGCGAGATGTGTCTAAAAATAGAACAACAATATTCTGTTTTATCGTTAATGTCCTATAACATAATCTTCCCGTGCCAGAATAATGCACTTGAACGCACCAAAGCTTTGTGATTGGCCGGCGTGACCACATGTGTGGGGGCGTGGCTGGTGGGCAGTGGGCATTATTTCGCTGACTTTGTCCGTGTCAAAACTAAAAGGAGTGACAGTCCGCACACACACAAGACCGTAATTATGGCAGAAGCAAAAAAGCCCAAAATATATAATTTTCACTCCGAGGAGGATGATTATTTTTGTATCTATTCCAATTCAAAGTCCATCTGTCTCATCTGCAATGCGAGCGTGGCTTTATCGAAGAAGGGTAATTTAGGAGCGACAATTCAAAACAGTGCACAAACGCTACGAGACGGAATTCCCTCCTAATTCTGCCCTACACTCCCAAAAGGGGAGGGGCCTGAAAGGACAGCTAAATGCACAGCAGTCCATTTTCACCAGGCCCAACAACAAGAGCAAGGCTGCTACGTGTCAGGACGTTCTTGTGAAACACATGAAGTCTTTCAAAGACGGCGAAGTTGTGAAAGAAGCATTCATGGAGGCTGCCGACGCGCTTTTTGGGGACAGTAAAAATAACAGTAGCATTTCAACAGGTTTTTGATATAATAAAAACTCAAGTTGGATACCGTTATTAATCAGCTGTAAGTTTTAGTTTGTTTGAACTTATTCATTATAATTATTGTACACAATGGTATAAGAATGCAAACTTAAATTGATTATATCAATTCAGGTTAAGAAACTAGTGTTGCTTGCATCCTATTTTAAAGGCATTTCCTTTTATACTCTACTAAAATTCAACAAAAAAGGGTTTGATTCTATTAATTTTGTCTTTTTTATTGCACTGTTGCAGCAGATTCCTGTGTAGCTTCAGATCTGAGTTGTCTTATTAGTAAGCCTAATTTATACTTTTGTAGCAACACTATTTTTATATAATGGCAAAGAAAGGGTTCAGAGTATTTTCTTTTTTTCCTGTGTCATATGTGGCCGCACTGTTCAATGTTTCTTGAAAACATTACCCACTGTAGTATGTGACGTGTGAATAAACTCCAACTCTGTATCAACAACACTGTTGTGTAACTTCAGTTAAATACTGGTATGTGTGTAGATTAGACAGAGGTAAGATAAAGGATCTGCAGTATTTTATGAAGTATTAATTGTACAAAGGTCAGTTTTATACAAGTAGAAGTGTGTATTTACCTGGTAGTAGGCTGTCAGTAATGGCTACGCCTCTCTATTTGGACTGGTAGATCTCGGCAGACTGGCAACTTTAAAAGTAGCTCTCGGTTCAAAAAAGGTTGGGCACCCCTGTTCTAGGGCCAGGAACAACCAGGCTGAGTCGGGCTGAGTATGCTAAACTAGAGAGAGAATCGCTGGCAAGGGGGCTACAACTACAACAAGATGAACATATTTGACCGTGATTTAATTGTAATACACGTTTCAAAATGATGCCGAAGTAACAACATACTGATACCGGTTAGTAAAAAACCATGAATTAATGCTTTGACAAGTCTGCAGATAGACGGCAGGCGAAAAACCCTTTTAAAATGCGTGTTTTCTAAATGTAGCTTGGCTAAGCTAACGTTATATGCTCCGACCGTCCACACTCACAACAACGGCCTATACAGACATAAATAAACCAGTGACTGTATTCGCCATGACACAGGCAGTCTGTGGTTTGTACTTGTTTAACTTTTGTCAAGTTTCTGAACATATATGAGGAGCTGTGAGCTCTGAGTGCTAAGAGCTAACGGCTGTGTTGTTTTTCTGGGGCTCTCATTGAAGATGACGTCACGGCTCCGCCTACACTGCGTTACTATAGTAACTGCCCCAGTTCCTAAACTGTAATGGAAGCGCAGCATTAAAATGAGCCGGGCCTAATAAGGCCTAACCAAACCGAGCGAGGCCGAGCGAGGCCTGCAGTGGAAACGCGCCAAAAGAGAGCACATTTTCCAGATCAGTTGGAGGTAAAGTTCCAAGGAGCCATCAATATAGGTTCTGACAAGCACAGGTCCTATATTTGATGTGTTAAACACCATAAAACAGCTTAACGTCTTGATTTGAGTTCTTCCTCAGCCTCCTTTAACTTTTCTGTCGTTGTTGCCTCTCTTTATATATTCCATCTCACTAACCACAGTAAAAAAAAAGCTTATTAGGATGCACAGAGCACATTTTATATTTTCTTTGATTTTTTCCACCAAGCCAACATATAGTGTGCCATGTTAATGCTAGATACATGGAGGTTAAGAGTTGTTCAAGTGATATTTCTATGTTGTACAGGTGATTAGAATGGTGAGTGATGTATTAGACACTAGGTACTGTAAGTACAAAATAGTTAAGCCCTCCGTTTCTTACATTCTATACATAAGTTGTTGTGTTCTTTGTAATATTAAGTGAAATGATTGCTATGTTTTAAGAGTGAAACACCTTGCTTTTGGCACTAACCCTAACCCTAACCTTAGCAAATATGAGCTATAAATGTGTATCATTGACGGAGATCTACATGGATACTAGAAGAGGTTACTTTTTCAAATGTCATTTTGTAAAAATAATGAATCAAGAGTAGATTATGTTTTCATGTGTGTCGATTTCGCAGTCATAATGTTAAATGAGAGAGATGATTAAAGGTGGGGTAGGTAATTTTGGAAAAAGCAGCTTGAGTGCGCTAGAATTTGAAAATACACAACCGGAAAAAATCTGCCACTTCCTTACAGAGCCCCTCCTCCAACACACACGAACGCGCACATGACCAATGAGGGCACGAGATAAGTTTGTGCACAGATGGAAGGCTGACAGGCAGGTAGGCCATCCAGTTATTTTAGCCGGGCGGCTCAAATGATTGGTCGTGCTTTTTACAGTACTACGGCTTCCACAGATGACATTTTTTTATGTATTTATTGTCAAAGCACTTAAAATATTCATTGCTATCGGGATGTTAAGAGCATTCCATGGAATATAACAAAAAGTGTATCTCGAGCCGGTTTCTCAAACTTACCTACCCCACCTTTAACAGAATAATAAGTATTTAAGCAATGCTATTCCTGAGAGCCTTACTGCATTGTATTTCTTTATAATTCTTACTTTGGATTGTCATGTTAATTTGTATGTCTGCAGTTACATAAATAATGAAATTTCCATCATAAATTGGTGCATAAAATCTTGTCGTCAAAACACCTAAGCCCTTGGAAATAACTAAGTATATAGATTAATTGCTGATCACCGATCACAATTCTATGACATTTTCAAGGACAAACATGAATATGACCTTTGATTCACTGTAGCAGAAGTGTTTGAACCCCCCCCATAAAATAAAAATGGAGGTTTGCATAATAGACCGAAAGCTCAAGGCTGTTTCTACCTGCATGTCCAGTTGCTTAAAACTGATAGTAAATTGGATAACAACTAGTAAAAACTTAAAAAGCAAGTGAAAGAGTTACCAGGAGACTTTGTTTGTTGAACCAATGTGATTAAAAGGGACATTTGAATCCGTCTTTGTTTTTGCTGCAAGCATCCTCCCGAGCACTGTGAGATCAAATGAATTGTCTTAGCTTTTAAAAATAAAGATTTGGCACAAAAATGAACAACTAGTTGCCCTTGGGTTTTTTCTCATGTACGCATTGGGTTGCCAAATTATAGCCACATTGATTTTGCTGATCTATTCTGCTCATTTTTAGGTTTCATATTTCTATCAGTGGCCTGCCGTCAGGGCCCTCTAGGGCCTATATATTATAAAAAATAATATTTGAAAACATTAAAAAAAAAACATTTAAATTTTTTTTTAAATTTGTTATATATATTTTTTGTTACATTTTTCATTAGTTTTACCAAAATAACTTGATTTAATTGTATTTAAAGGAAGGCTCCAGTCAGTAGATAGTTAATAAAAACGTCAGTATTTAGTGAAACATGTTTAAACCATACCCTGAAGAAATCAGCGAT